AGGCGGAAGAGAGACGGAAGCAAGAAGCGGAAGGGAGGCGCCAGGCCGAAGAGCGCAACCGACCGACCACTTTCGTGGAGCTCATTTAGCACTGTCATGTCCTTCTCTCCCGATCGCTGAGGGTCGATTCACCATCTCGCTCAACAACTGGACAAATACCTCTTCCTACCGGAAAAGACTGCCCGACAAAACTGGCAGAAATTTATACGTCCGTCTGCAAATATCTTCAGTCGGAGTCAGGGCAGGCGCCACGTTTGTTCTCGTCTTTGCCCGAGTTAGAAGGACTTGGCCGTCGATTTGCTCGCAAACCAATCAGTAGCGAGCAAGAACTTGAGGCCTATGAACGGTTTGGAGTGGAATAACATGTCCACGATATAATAGCTGAGCTTTGTAAACTGCCAGCTGCTTGTGAAGAGTTCGGCCTTGGAGATGGAATCCGATTCAGCAATCATACAAATTCCTTGAAGGAGAACGAAACGACTGAAGCTGATATCAACCACCCTCGACCTGACCAGTTCTGCATACATCGTGTCGACGGTAGCACAAATACCCTTCTGACAACCGTCGAGTATAAGCCGCCTCACAAGCTGCCTGTCGCAACTCTTCGCGTGGGACTTTGTCCAATGGACCTGTGGAAGGATATGGTCAGAAGCAATAAGATACCCACCGATCAGGAAGCGAAGATGAGGTATAATGCAAAGCGGCTTGTCTGCTCCGCTATTGTCCAAGAATACCACGTAATGATCCAGGAGGGACTCGAATATTCATATGTGACAAATGGGCTTACCCGTGTTCTCCTTCGTGTCCCGCGTGACAAGCCTAGCACACTCTACTACTTTTTCTGTGATCCTCACAACGAAGTGAAACCGGAAGGCGATATTGTGTTGATTGAAGGCGCAAAAGAGAGGTGGTATTGGGTGCGAGGCGAATGCCCAAGGTGCCTGGGTAATCCACCTCAAAGTACTAGTTACTAACAGGAGTGAACCCAGGCACAGAGAGAGAATGAGGAACAAAGACAACAAAGGGGCTAAACACTGGGCAAGATGGACGATTTGTTGTGGCTGTGAAGTGGAAAAGGTAAGATCTGCGAAACGAAAATGCCGAGGGCTGGTAATGAAGGATATTATACAGATAAGTAAATGGTAGTTTGTTCAAAGATGTCCTAACTGCCCAAGTATGAAATTCGATGGCAATATTTAACCGTACCCGGCTTGAAGACGAGAGCGAATGGACAAACGTCAACACGCCCGAGCGTGCTGTGTGGTGCTCAGTAGAACACTCTCAACACATTGCGACTCTATATGAATCCTAATGATGGGGAAGATCTGCAAATCTGGTCCAGGTCTCTCGCCGATTTCATTGTGCTGATTCCGGACTTGTAGTATGTAGACCTATACTTTGACACACAGGTGAAGCCAGAGTTCCGTGTTCTCATCCATATCCAAATTTCAACAGATAAGCCTTAGAGAACCGCAGCAAAATCACGTAATCGGGTCACCTGATGCCAACCCTCACGTATTAATAATAGGCTATTGCGTCCACCTGCACGTATGATGCATCCATCTCCTTCTCATGGTAGTACTTTCAAGATGGAACGGTCATATACTAAACACCCCCGAAATCCTCCACGACGTCCAAAAAAGACCCTTCTTGCATGCGAGCCTTGTCGAAGCAAGAAAACCAAGTGTGATGGCTTTCGTCCAGGTAGGTTGCTCTTTAGCCTGTGGACCATCTATTTGGCCTCAGGCTGACACTTTATTCCAGTGTATCATGCCTGTCTGAAGAGCGGTTTGAATGAGTCAAGGTGTATATGGAAACGCATCGGGAGAAGAAAGGCCGAAGACTCTGAGTAAGTGGGCAAGATCTCTTTTCAGAATTGGGCTTAATCAATTTACCCACTTCGTACTTTCAGTTTGGTTAGGAAGCTTCAAACGATAGTGGAACAACTCGAACAGCGGCTGGAAGATTCATCCCCCCTTCATCATTTGTCTCCTTTAAGACAGACAACCGATCTGACTGTGGACCAAATCGACGCTGGTGACGTTTCTACATCTACCAGCCCTGGAACTAATGCTTTGGTTGGAGCAGTAACAGGGGAAGTGCAGAACGAAGGATTTCTCGGTTCATCTTCTGCCGCAGCCTTCATGAGCCACATTCGAAGAGCCGTCAATCACAAAATTAACGTTCAATCTCCAGACAGCACCTTTGTCACTGAAAATCACCAGCGGAAATTCACAATCGACAGCGAACAGCCACATACCCCAGGACCAAGGAAGAGACTGAACTTAGTCGGAGAGTACACCCTACCGCCACGCTCAGTCGCAGACACTTTACTTCACGCGTATTGGAAGTTCGTTCACCCGCTATATCCATACTTGAACAAATGCAACTTTGACCGAATTTATGAGTCACTGTGGACGGGGCCCCCCATCTTTCAAACGACATCATATCTCATGAGAACCGATAATACTACTTTCCTTTGTATGTTCAATCTGGTTCTTGCGCTAGGGTGTCAATATTCTGTCGAGATTGAAGATGGAAAGGTGCATGCGACGGCAGAGGTATACTTCAAACGCGCGCATTCTTTGTTCCACTTTGATCCGGTCGAATGCACCGACTATTCACTCTCATCTCTGCAAACCATGCTTCTGTTGGCGAACTGGCTAGGACCTTGACGCGGAAGCGTGTACATGTCTCGTGAGAAGGAGAGGACATTGAAGAGGTGGAGGTGCATCCACGAATTCATTTTTGTATTCAATGCATCACTGGCATTGAATTTTCATTTGTACTGGGCTTTTTCGACGCATTTGCGTGTTTTATGGGTTTGGCGTACATGTAATGGGCTGGTGCTTCCCCTCTTGGAGAACCAGCCTCACCTTTTTGTACTGGAGCATGATCAGGCGTACGGACACGAGTTCTTGCTTCAACCGGAAAGAAGCGCCTGCATAGCCATTACGATACTAGTTAGGCTCCAACAGGTTAATGGAACTGTGATTGATTGATTGATTGATTGATCAACAAATTAAGATACGGGGGCAGCGTGTAGAGCTGGAGGTATTGAACATCATGTACGGCGGTTCTTCTCTGGGGTAAGCGAAATTGTGATCGAGCAGGTGATGCTCTTGAAAGAGCCATACTCAGACACGCCAACAACTTCACCGGCCGTAGCCACTCCACGCCTGGTTGCGTGCATATACGATGGATATGAGGACAACACATGCACAGAACAGGATCTTCTCCGTGTTCCAAGCGACGCTTTTTCTTTCTACCGCTGCCGATACTCTTCGGCAGCTTCGAGACGGTCTCCCAAGTTATATGATTCCTGACTTCTTTGTCTCTGTCGCCCAGCTGCCGCGAACGATAACAGGAAAGACGGACAAACTGCAGCGAAGCAAGGCCATTTAGGAAAACCCACCCCTTGAACTGCGCGCATACTTTGCTGCGCAGAGAAACAAAAACCGTTTGGAGACCGAGACGGCAGTGAGGTTACACGCCATCCCCAATGGATTGCTTGATATAGCTGCAGAGACAGTTGGTGTTGATGACAGCTATTTCCATCTAGGCGGAGACTTCAATTCTCGCGATGAAAATTGCTGCTAACACCCGTCCATAGGAAATGGAGATCAGTTCGCACGATGTCCTC